TAAAGGCCCACTAAAAAAAAATCCCAGCAGATGTTTTTGTGAGCTAAAGCTCACATCAGATGCATTGGAAGAAGACTCTGGAGAAGAAGAGCCCCGCTCCGCCTCAACAAGGGATGAAGTTTCCTTGTGGGGCTGTGGAACTGTGAAGTGGGGGAGGAATCAAGGGGTCCCATAGAACCTGCAAAGAGAGATCTGAACTGTTAGGCTCCCTCAGCGCAACCCCTTGCTTTTTGGACTGTTTCATCTGTCCTGTCGAGATCTATAAATTGCCAGCATTGCCTATCAAATACAGCCTGATTTGCAATCAGAGGTTTTTATTTGCCACAGAAACTTGAAGGTTGGTAATTGCTGTGGCTCAAGTGGTTAAGACGCTGAAGTGCAGCCTGTGGAAGGTCAGTAGTTCAGCAGTTCAAGACCCGAGTGTGCCGCAAGACGGGGTGAGCTCCTGTCTCTAGTTCCAGCTCCTGCCAACCTAGCAGTTCGAAAGCAAGAAATTGCAAGTAGATAAATAGGTACCACTTCGGTGGGAAGGTAATAGCGTTCCGTGCGCCTTGGTGTTTAGTCATGCCGGCCACATGACCACGGAAACGTCTTCGGACAGTGCTGGCTCTTCGGCTTTGAAACGGAGATGAGCACCACAACCCTAGAGTCGGATTCGACTGGCTTTCGAACAAGGGAACCTTTACCTTTACCTTTAATTGCTGTGGACTTGTAGTTAACTGCATTTAATTAATGAATTCAACTATCTTCACACAGACTACGTAAATGTATTTATTTATTTACTTGGGATTTATATCCCCCGCCCTACCCAAGCGGCCCAGGGCGGTGAACAAGCGGCGATGCCGGAATAAAATATAGATACATTAAAACATTAAATACATTAAATACATACAAGCTAAAATGGTGCTCTACAGTTCACTAAATTTCCCAAGATGCACAGTGTCCCTCATTGGCGGCCGGTGTTGTAGTGGCGTGAGCGCCAGGAGTGATGTTCCTCATCAGGGCGGCATCTACCCCCCTCCCAGATAAGATAGATGGTAGGATCGAGTCACGATGGTGGTATAGTGACGGCGGCGGCTCCTACTCAAAAGCCTGGTGGAAGAGCTCCGTCTTGCAGGCACTGCGGAACTGTACAAGGTCCCGCAGGGCCCGGATCTCCACCGGGAGCTCATTCCACCAGGTAGGAGCCGCCACCGAAAACGCCCTGGCCTTGGTTAGGGCAAGCTTAATGTCTCGAGGGCCCGGAACCTCAAGGAGGTCAAGACTCCCCGATCGCAGCGCTCTTGGGGGAACATACGGGAAGAGGCGGTCCCTGAGGTAGGCTGGACCCTGGCCATTCAGGGCTTTAAAGGTAAGAACCAGCACTTTGAAATGAATCCGCTATGCTATCGGCAGCCAGTGCAGCGCTTGCAGCACCGGCCGGATGTGGTCCTGCCTGGAGAGGCCCATCAGCAGCCCAGCTGCAGCATTCTGCACTAGCTGCAGCTTCCGGATTTGCAAGAAAGGCAGCCCCAAGTAGAGAGCGTTACAGTAGTCCAGATGGAAAGACCAGCGTTGTAGAAATGGTAGATGATTGTGCTGTGAACAGTTGGTCATAGGACTGACGAGAGGAGAGGTAGTCTTAGACTTTCAGTGCAACCCTATGCAGGCTTACTCTAGTTTAAGCACATTGAAATCACTGTTCATCCTGACTGGTGGCCAGGATCTAGTGTGAGATGTAAATACTGCAGAGCTGCTCTGGAGCTAGGTTGTCATTAAATGCAGCATATGTTTAAGTAGGAAGTTGCATTGAAGGCTGTCCATGTTAACAATTTCAAAAACTGATATTTTAAAGTGAGGGGATTAGTTGAAAAGAAGAGTCAGAAAAGTGAAATCTCCTCAGGAGAGCTCAGCAATGATAATAGAAGCTCTGACGAACGTACAACACAGATTGGGAAACACAGAAACAAGACCAAGAACATACCAGCATGGTGAAGTCAAGACAGCTATAAAATGCCAGAAGGCTTTCCTAAAAAAGAGAAATTTTGTCCTAATGAAGGAAACAAAAAAGAGTTAATTCAGGCAAAACTAGAGCAAATCAATGATAAGCAAGAAAAAGAAAAAACTCAGCCAACGAACAAACAAACCCTGAGAAGGATACTGCTAACAAAGTTACCACATTTAAATTCATTAGAAGCAGGATACTAATAAAGGAGGTAGTCTAGATAATTATCCTACATACCTTCGTGACCGCCACTCCCAGTATGCCCCTGGAAGAGCATTATGCTCCATTCTGGTGGTATGAGCTCCCAGTAGACTGCAGGGCCTGTAAAACAGAGCTCTTCCATCAGGCCTTCGGAGCCGCCGCCACTACTAAACAACATCAGTAGTTAATAGCAATAGAATAGAGAGCCCTGTGTCCCTGGAATTTTAACAACGGTGCCGGTGCCCATCGTTTCTATGATATCTAAAGGAGATCTGAGAGACGGTCATCTGGAGAGAGAACCGAGTACAGCAACCATAGTTGAAGTAACAACAATAACCAAGGACAATTAATACTAGCACTTTATGTCATCAATTGGTTGTAGTATGGTTTTAAGTGTTTTCATCATTTTTATGGTAATTTACATATTGTTTTATGTAAGCCGCCCTGAGCTGGCCTCGGCTGGGAGGGCAGGATAGAAATCTGACAAATAAAATAAAATAAGAACCTCCTGGTGGTCCCTGGCCCGAGAGAGGTCCAGCTGTCCTGAACCAGGGCTAGGGCTTTTTCAGGAAATCACAACAAAAAAGGAAAAGAAGCAAGGGTCAAAAGTTGCCAAAAATATTTATGGACATGGCAGAAGAATATAATTTGATAGATACATGGAGGGCAAGGAATATACAGACGAGGGATTACACCTTCTATTCTGCTAGACACAACTCATGGTCCAGGATAGATATGGCATGGGCGACAATGGGGTGGATGCAGGAGCTGAGAGAGGCAGACATATTGCCAAAAACATTTGCAGACCACAACCCTATTCTACTGTCTTTTAAAGAGGTATGGAAAAAATCTAGATGGAGGATGAATACAGGACTGTTAAAAAATAAAGAATTTAGAAAAAAATACAAAAATAGAAATTTTGGATTTCTTTAAAAGAAATATGCATCCAGAAATATCCATAGAGACAGTATGGGAAACATTCAAAGCATACATAAGAGGGTGGTGTATAAGCCAGGATGCATGGAGAAAGAGGAAAAGGAAGGAAGCATATAAGGAAATAATGCAAAAAATTAAAATACAAGAAGATAAACTTTAAAAAGATGACAAAGGGGAAGGGAGAAATAAGCTGATGGTCTTGCAACACGAAATGAATCTATTACTAACACAAGAAATTGAGAGGAAAATGGAATACACGAGACAATATTTTTTTGAAAATGCAAATAAGCCAACAAGATGGCTATTGTATAGACTTAGGAAGGAAAGAGAGAAACATACCATAATTGCATTGAAGGATGATAAAGGGACCTTAAAACATAACATACAAGAACTAAAAGAAATTGCAGAAAAATATTATCAGAATTTATATAAACAGGAACAAATAAAGGAATATTTACAAGGAAGGAATCACAAGGAATTTGAGGGGAAACATAGAGAATTACTAAATGGGAAAATAACAATGTGTGAAGTAGTGGAGGCAATTAATAAACAGAAGAAGAAAAAAGCCCCGGGTCCAGATGGAATCCCAGCAGAACTGTATCAAACCTTTGAAGAAGAGATTAGTCAACCATTTAAAGAAATGCTACAAAAAATAGGGCAAATAGGGAAGCTACCAAATTCATGGTACCAAGCAGCAATAACCTTGATACACAAAGCTGATACAGACCCTATAGATATAAAAAATTATAGACCAATTTCATTATTGAATGTTGACTATAAAATATTTGCAAACATATTGGCAACAAGATTTTAAAAAGTACTAGCCCAGGTAATACACCAAGATCAGGCAGGTTTCCTACCAAAAAGGCAGATAAAAAGCAATATGAGGACAATCATGAATGTTATAGAATACTATGAACAATATCCAGGGAAACAATTGCCTTTGATGTTTATGGACACAGAGAAAGCCTTTGACAACCTATCTTAGGAATTTGTACTTTAAAAACTAAAAAGTTGGAGGTGCGGAACAAACTTTTTAGCAATGGTACGAGCAATATATAACAGACAATACGCCAACATAATTATAAATGGAGATATAGCCTCACAAATCGAGATTCAGAAAGGAACGCGCCAGGGTTGCCCACTCTCACCATTGTTATTCATATTCGCATTAGAAACATTAAATAGTGAGGTAAGAGAAGATCGCAAAATACTAGGGCTGAAAATCAAAGGAGAGGAATTTAAATTATTAGCATTTGCGGATGACCGTAGTATTTATAATGGAAGACCCGTTAGCTTCAAGCCAGTATTTACTAAAGAAGAACTTTGAACTCTTCAGAAGCAAACCCCTCAAGTGAAATTTAGCTGCCAAATTAGCAACATTCTTCAGAGCACTTCTAGAAATATGCAGTAGGTAGCGCTAGTACCTAATTAATCTTGTATTTATCTCTTTCTAGCGAGTACACAGGATAAAAGCCATACAACTGCCTCCCTGCGCTGAGTGTATTTTAAAAGCTGTATTTTCTGAATCACAGGGGAATGCATTTCAAGCTAGCCTGATCTTGTGTAGAATAAGGCATGTCTCCCAAGCCTATTGATTTCAAAGGCACACATTTAACTCTACTGGGTTGGGCTCAAACTGCCTGTTCTGTTGACATCTTTTAAATAAAATAATTGTATTAGCTTAGTACCACTAGATGTCCTCCAGGAAAACCTTTTTGTTTTGCATATATCTCTTTGCTACCTACTAACCATCCTGATTACAGCTATTTATGTATAGTCCTGACAAGACCCCTGCAACTGGTACCTTTTGATTCTGTTAGCTCAGTTGATCTACCCAAGCTAATATTTTCCATCTGGACAAAGCTTCTGAAACACCTGTTGGGAGAAAGAGCAGTGGTTTATGACATTTAAAGTACATTTTAATTATTTGAGTTGGAAAGGATCTTTCAAGGCCATCCAGTTCAACTCTTCCAGAAGCACAACTCCCTTGACACAAATCACTTTTTAAGAGCCTGCACAGATTCACTGAGTAACTTGTTCTATTAGGTAGCAGTTCTTAGGAAGCTTTTCCTGACAGTCAGCCTATTTTGCTGAAACTTGGAACATGTCGTAGATCACTCTTCTGACAATCCCTTAGATATCTGCTAGCTGCCATTGTGTCTCTCCTAAGCTAAAAGGAGTCAGTTCCTTCAGCTTTTCTCATGCCATGTGCTCCAAACCTTCAGTTATCTCTGTTACTCTTAATAACCTCTCTGTTCTCTGTTACTCTTAATAACCTCTGTTTATAAATTTGTTTATAAGTGATAAAAGTCCTGCTTAAAGTGGAGAGAGTAATACTGAACCATCTATTCTAGCTGAATTTTATTTATTTAATTCATTTATACTTCACCTTTCTCCCCAAAGGGGACCCAAAGTGGCAACAATCCTGTGAAGTAAGTTAGGCTGTGAGAGTGTGACTGGCCCAAGGACACCCAGTGAGCTTCCATGGCACAAGTGGAGATTTGAACCTGGATCTTCCAGATACTAGCTCGACACTCTTCACCACCACACAATACTAGTTGAAGCCTAATGAGTACTAAATCAAGTGATGTTGTTCTTGCTTTTGTATTGGATATAGCATTTATGGTCATGCAACACAAAGCTGTGTTTTCCTTTGAAATGTATGAGCCTGTATCCTACCATTCCACTCAGCAAAGTCTGAAGCCTTCATCTAATTTAAGGAACCTTCCTTCAACTTCAGTGGTTCTTCTTCCAGAGGAAGAGCCAATGAAATTGGAGGAGGTTTCCTTAAGCTTGAGGGAAGGCCTCAAATTTTGTTGAATGGAATGGTAGTATACTGACCATTATTTATACAATACAGAATGCACATCCTGCCTTCTTTGGCCAACTATTAGATTGTTAGTTTGATACTGGAGTTTTCTGGCTCATATATTCAATAATGATAAGTGGCATTTCCGTCACCTTCAGTGTTTGAGGCTTTGGTGATGCAGCTTATATTGTTAAATGCATTCAGATTCTTTTCACATGGACAGTTGCTAGTACATAAATGGGAGTTTGCAAGAATTGGTTTTTCTCCTCCAATCTTTCATTTTTTAAAATTCATTTTGCTTTTCTCAAGTATATAACATTTTTATTTTTATACCTTTCTATAAAACTGGTGCTAGATTTTCTACATCTCATCTCACGGGAGCCTCTTCTCTACCAAGCAGTTATAACTAACTTCGCTTGAGATTGTCCAAGTTTGTAATAAGGGAATTCATTTTTTTTTTTTATTCTTAAAATTTATCTCAGCTGTTATCAGGGCCATCAAGGCAACTAATGAATTAAAAAATGAATAATAAAAAGTCTTAAAACCGTTAAAAGGAAACAAAATCACATCATTAAATCAAGCTAAAATCCACATAGAGAAACATAAAAATAACAATTACAACATAGGGTAGGAAGAAGGGCTCACTGAGGGAACTCTATGTAAAACAAAAATGTCTTTACTCATGGATGGAAGATGATAACAGAAGGAGCAGGCAAGACTCTCTGGGGAGAGTTCCAGAGCTTTGGTGCCACACAACCAAGAAGGCCCTCTGTTGGGTTGCCACCCGCCTAATCTCAGAAAACAGGGTACCCGCAGCAGGGCTTTGGAAGATGACCATAGCAGTCAGATAGCTTCATAAGGGAGTGGGTGGTGCCTTCCAGAGAAATATTACCTAGAAATAGTTGATTAATTGAGGGGTGCTGATTCTAATTAGTGGGGATGTGAACTAAAGGGCATGCTTTATTTTTTGCAGATCTTTTGGTTCTGGTTCATTATTATAACAAGGAGTAACTTCTTGAGCCAGAACCCACTTTTCTAGATGGATGAAGTGCTACATTCAGTTGGCAGTTCTCTCTGTACGTGTAAATACGCACAAAAATACAAACTGCAAGAAGAGGGTGGGGTGGGGTGGGGTGGGGTGGGGCAGCACTGTCTCATGAAAGCTCACACCATAATAAATGTGTTAGTCTTTAAGGTGCCACATGATTATTTGGCTGTAGCAGACTAATGTGATTACCCCTCTGGAATTTCTTAGCATGGCCTTCAGCAGACAAGGGGAGGAGGATGTGCTGCTGATTCACAAGTGTTCAGGTCTCGGCAACAGAAAAGGGAGAGGTAGGGGAGAGCCAGGGTAGTGATGTGGCCTCTTTGTGGGGATGAAAGACTGGCTGAGTCGTCATCGTCGCTTTCCTGCTCCTAGTGCATGAGATGCAAAATGTGTAAGGTAATATGTTTTATTGGGTCCATTTCTTTTGATGCACTCCTACACCAGCAGAAGTGGATCTCATAAAAGAGATTGCTTTACCTATTTTATATCTCTTTGAAATGGAAAGACAAGGAGATTCACTTTTTCTCCATTAACACCCCTTGACTTGGTTCTCTTTCCATGCAGGAGACTGTGAACAAGCTGCTCCAGCGCCACTTCAAAGATGACAAAACGCAAGGTAATTGCTTTCCCTTCTGTCTCAATAAAGAGGCCAATTCCTGCTAGAAGTCTTGCCAAACGTCTGGGCAGAGAGAGATCATGCTCTGGAATATCAGAGATCATCAAGATCTGTGGTTACTGCCTGCTGATTTCCCAGGTGGGGCAGAACAACTGTGCTGTGGTGAGAGGGGCTGCTGGGTGCCTGTCTCCTGGTGACTGTGTTTTCCTCTTCCAGTCAGTGATGATGCTCTTTTGCTGGTGGCAGAACTGCTCAAAGTGTTTGTTCGAGGTAAGTTGTCAGAACACATTTTGTTCTATGGAGTGGCCTTCGTTAGATGGGTAATCTGTAGTAGAAGCATGAAGTTTAGTGCAGAACTTGGTCTTCTGTAGGATTTTTCTTTTATATTTTGTAGCCTTCTCAGTCATCTAACAAGCCATACCAGCTAAATGCTGAAATCAGAGAGGACTAGTCAGAGCTTCCAAGCCTTCCGAAACTATTTTTCCCTTCCGTTCTTTTGCCATGCATCCTTTGGCTTACATACACCTTCCCATCCCAGTCCATGCAAAAAAATCTTTAGGTTCAAATCTTATCAGTAATAAAAAAGTGTGTTTGTGCTACCTTTATATTATATTCTGATGATTTTTTTCTTGTTTGGTGCAGAATTTGTACAGTTTATGTTAAATACAGAAAGTGGGGTTTTAATTATATTTTTACCAGATGCTACAAGGTTCAGATGTTATTTACACCCACTTTGAACTCTCTGGGGCTGTTAATGCTAGGTGGTTACCAGTGCAATTCTAAGCAGAGTTACACCTGCTAAGGTTATGGACTTCAGTTGACTTAGAAGGGTCTGTTTAGGATTGTACTATATAAAGAGGCATTGTACTCATTTTGGTATTATCTTCCTGGTAGATAAATAGAATGATGAGTGAAGCTCCAGTATAAATACTCTGAATTGCAGAATTCCCCCCCCCCCCCAAACAGGCAAATAAAAATCTCTGTGTAAATAACTGCCCTTCCTGTTAGTCAAAAGTCATCAGTGCTTCCTAAAGGCCATTCCTGTCCCCTACCAGTAGCATTTGCTATCCATGTCTGTCTTTGTCTTGCAGAGGCCGCAGCACGGGGAGCACGCCAGGCTCAGGCAGAGGACCTGACCAGGGTGGATGTGGAACACGTGGAAAAAGTGCTGCCACAGCTGGTATGTCAAGCACAGTTCACATTCCTCGATTAACAGGATAAGAATGTGGGCAAAGCCATCTTAATCCCCTTCCTTCTGGAGGATGTTTGGTTGGTTAGTAATATCTTTACTGGGTAACTGGAAGTCAAGAAAATGTATTACCCAAGTGCCTTGTTGAACTAAAAACCATATTCCATTTCCACAGCTTCTGGACTTCTGAAGTGTGAACAACGCAAAGCAAACATTCTTTTTCACACAGAAATGTCTCCTGGATTCTGGATGAAGTGGATCATAGACTTTTTCTCTTTTTTTTACATGGAATCTGTTGTAAAGGGACTTTGCATTAGTTGCTGACTGATATAGTATTGGCAGCTCTTCTTCCCTCTTTAAAAGCTGCTCCTCTCTCCCCATCTTTTTCCTGGGTGCCCAGTAATTTTAGAGTGGTGCGTGAAAGGGTTTAGAGTCTGTCTCTCTGTCTTTTCACAACAGAAGGCCTAGAGCTGAGGGCACCTGGCCCATCCTGCCACTTCCCATTCACAGCCAGGCAGAGTCTACACTTTCTTTTCCGATGGGAAAAACAGGTGCCTTTCTGTAGTGGTGTGTGGAAAGAGGGAGTACGCCTGGAGGATTTCCCCCCATACCATGGGCTCTCATCACCTCAGCAAGCATTTAAAGGCCAACTTCAGTCCTGTCTGCTTTCTGAGGTCTTAAACAGGAGCTAGCCCCAGGTCTATGCCAACAGCAGGTAACTGAACTTTATTTTATAAATAAACAGTGCCTGTCCCTCAATCCTTTCCAGCATTCCACTGGGGCCATGACATCAAAGAGTGCTTGGAACCTTTTAACCATTTGATATTCCTCTCAGAAGCTGCTTCCCTCTGCTATAAATTTGTTCTCACAAAGAAACTTCAATAAATCAAAAATGGTCTCCCTCCCTTGTGCAGGCTTCTTGTTGCAATTAATCATAGAAAGTCAAGTAGCTTCAAAGAGTTGTTTGGCCTCTCCCCACCCCCTCTTTGTAGGACGAAAGAAAAACTTTCAAGAAGGGGCAGAATAACAAACAGCATGTGTGAGGATCCCACATCACGCAAGGCCCAGCCTCTCTGTCAGCAGGGGAGGGAGGGGGAAAGCTGTGAAATAGTAAACCTTACACATGGAGGGCAGGGCGTCTGGTTCCACTGAGAAATAAAGCCGAGGCCCAGTGAGGGAGAAGCAGCTGCCCATCGCACTACTGCATGTCACATCAAATCCAGGAAAGCAACAATACCCTCCAGTGGTGGTTGATATGAGCTTGCCGGTTAAGTACCTAAGAGGCTAGGCTCCTGCATGATTGCAGTGAACAAGGCCAAAATATCCCTGACACATCCCATCCAGTAGTGGTTACTCTTGAGACTGGGATACGTCATTTTTCATTGCAGATGTGGCTCTGGTTGCCTGCAAACTGAGATTCCCCCCCCCTCAGAAAGGCCTGTTTCCTCCTCTCGTGTAGTGGATTTAATCTCTTCCTTTGACAGCCTCATAGCGCCATCCAAAGCACATCTACACTTTTCTAAGCACACTGACTTCCATAGACTTAGATTCGAAATGCTGGCTTAATGTTTTACTGATTTAATCTCAGAGTTGGAAGGGGTCACCTAGTCCAACCCCCTGCCAATGCAGGAGCTGTGCGTGTTAACTGCTGTCAGGTTACAGCCCACTTATGGCAACCCCTCATCCAGTTTTAAGGCAAGAGACTTCAGAGAAGATTTGCCGTTGCCTATCTCTGCATAGTGACTTTCAGCTTCCTTGGTGGTCTCCCATCCAAGTACTAAGCAGAACTGACCCTGCTTTGCAACTGAGATCTGATGAGATCGGGCCACCTGGGCCATCCAGGTATCCCTGATACTTCAAAAACTCTGATGAAGAGTCCACCACCTCACGAGGGAGACTTCCGGTGCCAAAGGCACCTCACCAGGAAATTCTTTGCTGTATTTTACATCCATTAATCCAAGTCCTGTTATCCGCAACACAACATATCTGCCCCTTCCTTCACATGGCATCACTTTAGGTGTCAGAAGGTGGCTATCATATCACCTCGCAAATATCTCTTCTCCAACACAGAGCTATTATATTGTTACAAACCAAGGTTTGATACTAGGGCCTGGGGAGCGGGCTGTAAATCCTGGTTAGCATTGCTGCAGACTAACACTAAATGATCGTAAACATGGGAAGGTGTGTGTGTGTGTGGGGGGGGGAGTTGACTCTGAAAAGGTAGGAAACATGTTTCTGAGGCTGCGTCCTTAGTTACAAGGCATGGGCTCTATGATTACATCTGCACTGGACAAGTATGGCATCATGCCTTCCCATGGAAGAGAAAGCATCCTGATTGCAGTACTGCAAACCACTGGCACACAGACCAACCCTATGCACACTTACTGGGAACTCCTGCTGCGTTTAATAGGATGTGCTTCAAAGTAAGTATGTGTCGTATAGGATAAGGTTTGGAACCATAAAGCCACATATAGTAATGAGAATTGCAGGACCTAGGTTAAAATTATGATAGCAGTAAGCTAGTGTCAAAAGTTTGAACAGCTATCTGTTAAAACTCTTTTCCTCAGCATAGGTACAGAACTAGGTACTGACAGCCCTTCACAGCTACTGCACTAAAATCTTGCTTCTATTTAAAAGATGTTTGATCTACAGAAGAATGCATAATTGCAGCCCTAGAAGCTTTGCCTGTTATGCTGGTACATCCAAGTGTCTCCTCCTAATCCATAGGCATAAAAAACCCCACTGTGGTTTACCTGAGCTTCCAGTTAGAGCTTGAAGTTGTCTATCCCTTCAAACAGTATATTGATCAGGCAGGTGTTTTGTATAAAAAAAGCCAAAAAGCCACCAGCATTAAGAGCTCTGGTTACATATTTGCACGCATGCACAAAGTTAACTTGAATCCTGTTATACAGGTACTAGGAATGTACTAAGGAACAGTGAATACATATTTAAGTACCCATGCATGCACTCATACCAAAGTTGAATTAAAAGCACATGGGGCTTCTGTTTTAATAGACTTGCACACTTGATTTTAAATGAGGTGTCTGTGCTTAGATTCAGATTTTCTTTGGCAAATCCAAATGGCAGTCCAAGCTTGGTGTTGAGAAAGAGAGGGACATTAGAGTATCACTATCCTTAAAGGTTGAACAGACCTAAACGCTCTGCATTCCCTGTATGGGAGAGGAGGAGCACTTTTGGTTCAGCCAGTGGCAGTCTTGTCCTCTGAGGGCCAAACTAGACAATATGATTTCTGAGTTAAGTCCTGATTCCCCAGACCTGGCTCACTTTCCCCACAGCAGCTTCAGAGAAGGGCATTTGAAGGGCCTGCAGGGGCCTGATTTGGCTTGGGATGGTGGAGAGGAGGGAGGAGGGGTCCCCCCCTCTCCCCCCCAGTGCTGTGTTTCAGCTCAGGAAAAGGGCATGGGGGCAGAAGTCACCCACCCACCCTTAACACCACAGTTCTGAGTCAGGCCCCTACAAACTTGAAATGCCATTCTCGTAAGTCAGGAACCCAGATCCACCTTGTTAGAAATCATATTGTGTAGTTTGCTTGTGAGTGAACAAGCCACGCTGAGTTTTGGTGCAGAGGAAATGAGTTTGGTCAGATAAGAACACGGCGAATGAGGTAATTAGCAGCTTGAAGGCAGGTTGCTGAGAGGTAGATTGCTGTTTACCTGTTTACCAGCAATCTCATCCTGGCACAGCATGCCAGCCATATTGCATACAAGTTAGTCAGGCTAAACTTTCATTTGAAAACAATTAGGATTTTCATTCAAATAATCTAGCAGTGATCCTGTGAGTCTGCTGCAGTCTCACTAAACCCAGCAGGCGTTCTCTTTACCCCCATCTGTGGTTAAACAGAAACTGTTAACAAGATCTATTAATATCCCTAGCCTGGAAGAAAGGCAGAGTTGAGCTTCCTCATTGCAACACAGGTCCCATTATCCTCTACTGAAATTCAAAGTAGTCTACCTAAAGCATAATTCACCTTTTCCGCTGGAAGAACCAATAGAAGCCATGGCAAATGCAGGTGTAAAGGCGCTGAAGCAACTGTTGGTCAGGAAAAAGGCAAGCTATTAAAAATGGATGTCACTTGCAACTTTAAAAAAGAATGATTTACTCACTGTGTGTGAGGATGAGAATTAATGGGATAAAGAAGAGAACAAAAGCTCTTGAACCAAGGCTGACATGTGGCTTGGGAGAAGACAGACACACCAGGTGAAGCCGGGCAAGTCCAGCATCTGTCACAGGGCAGGGTACATGTTAATCCAGCAGAACAGCTACCTCTAGGAAAACACTACTAAAGAATTAGCTGACCATTTAAAATTGGGAATAGGGTAGGTGTGACCACAGTGCACAAACTGTAGCACTGCTATGATCTGTGTTCATTTTTAAAGGAATGGCTTCAAACAAACATTGTGCTTAAAACCAAAGTCATTCCTCAGTCTTTGAAATGTAACAGTATGTTCAAAACCCTGAGACAAGACAGAGTTTGGAATTTTTAGTGTGGGGCCCATGCTGCCACAAAGACCATGGGAACCCACCCCTGTCCAGCTTCCCTCCAGCCCTTGAAATAAAACATAAAGCCATAAAACAAAATTCTGCGTTGTTTAAACTCAAATCCCTTTCAATGAAAGATTCGTGTATATAATCCTTCCTAATAGCAGTGTGCATATACCATTTCAGTGGCTGCTTATGCGCCTAATTTTACAGTATAAATAAAAGACAGATCACAGGAAAAACCAAAAAGCAGCTTCGGTGTCAATGCTAATAGGTCCAAAGGAAACCATTGCAAATGTAAGAAGACATTTGCCAAGCTCCTAGACAGAGACATGGAGGTTTTCTACAGAAGATTTCCTTTGGTTTCCCCATTCTTAACTGTAGCTGCCAATTCAGCGCAACAGCAATGGGGCTTTCAAATGGTCAGTTCCCCCACATTTTCTCTTCCCCAGCCTTCTGTAGCTGCCATCCTCACACAGGTCTTAACTGGGTAATACTAGATCAACTCACCATAGCATTATAATGATCTATTGCAACAATGTACTAGTTCACAACTGTCATTTTTTAAATAAGGTAAGCCCCTCTGATTGCAGCTATGACAGAAAAGTGGAAGCTGTACATTTCCCATTCTAACTTCACAATGAAAAGGGCTAGAGAGTTACTGATAGCTGAAATGAAAGCTGGGCACTAGACCATTGTTGCAACAGATTGTTATAGTATTATAATGGCAGTTACTTTGTTATGCTTTCAAAAAAGGTGGGCATATAGCAGGTTTAAAAAAGAATGCAGAAGAAAACCCAAGAGGTGCATAAAGAGCCACCATCATGCTGTGAGGAAGCAGGAAAGTGATTTTCAACAGCATCCAAACCAGGGCAAATAATCTCTGTGTTAACACCCCATAGACTCATCAAAGAATTATCCAGATCTCATTCTGCTAAATGAGGATTGTAAGATTAGAACTGACACGGTCTAGATTCTACCCTTACTCTCGTAGCAATCACCCCCTCCCACTACCAGATGGCAGCATCACGTGTACAGTGATACCAGCTTCAGCAGCTGTTGTCTTATACTCTCCTTAGGAAGTTTGTTTGTGGGTGACATTAAAGATCTATTCTCTTAGTGTTTTAACTGCTTTCTGCTTGCTTTGCTCAGCAGCTTTCCTCTACCTTTTCCCTCCCACAACTTCTGTGAATTTCTTCAAAGCAGCTGGGCGCATTTGGAAGTAATTAGACCTGAAGGGAAATGTTGGCCAGTCTGGGAGACAATGACAAGTGCCAGGAACCCTTGGTGCCCCTTCCAGCCACTTTGAAGTTCATTCAGATGGTACAATGCTCTGTTTTCTTTGTTCAAAAAGTGGAGGCAGGAGGAAAATGGGCCATGTCAAGCTCTCTGAATAGGGA